GGGGGGGGGGGGGGGGGGGGGCTTGTTTACCGTGGTGAGCTTCTCCAGCTGGACAAAGCGCTCCTCCCAGCCGGCCGCCAGCTTCTCAAAGGCCTCGTGCCGCTTGATCAGGCTCTCCACCTCGTCCACGTTGCAGCCCAGCTCAGCCGCCCGCACCAGCGGCTCCTGCCCCACCAGCCAGGACTCGGCCACTGAGGCGTCCCTCCCAAACTGCAGCACCTCCAGGACTGTAACGGGCAGAAAAAATGAGCTGTGGGAGGTACAAAAGCGTATACAGGGCTGTGGCCATAGGGCCACTGACTCCAGCTGAAAGCTGATTGGTCACATCCCTTGTCAATCACTAAAACACAGCATATCATTAGCTAATGATACGGTTGTCTCCCCCGCATGAATTATTGCCCCTCTTATGCTGTTCTGGAATCGCCCCTCCAGGGAGATTAAACCGAGGAGCATGGATGATAGCTACAAGGTTCACAGATGGAAGGGGTATCAGAGGAGGACCTCACCGATCTGGAGGTGGCCCATCTTATCTTTCCACTTCTTATTGATTTCATCCCTCTTGGCCTGCAACTGGTCCAGCTTCTCCTGGATCTGAAGTTTCATTCACCAGACAGGATAAAGAAGAAATGTCACATGGTGAATAGCAGTTAACGTGGTCCAGTCAAAACAATCAGCTAGGTATAGACAGGACCAGAGGTACAAGTGGCCTATGGATTGGCATTGCATCTTGGGCCCCCGGATCGGCCCGAGCCGTTGGCTGACCTCATCGGCAGCATAGTGGTTGTTGCTGACCAGTGCGCCGCCCATCTCCTTGCAGGCTGTGAAGCTGTCTGCCCTGGCTTCGATCTCCGACTTGATGTCCTGGTGGTTGGCGATGACGAGTCCCGCTGAGGATACATCCCTGGAAAGAGGGTAGGGGGGGTGATACCTTTAGTATGACCCAGTCCAGGAACGGACAGACCTTGGAGGGTGAGTGGTGAAGCGAAAACTGGAAATGACTGTCAGGAAAGTGAGGCTAAACCTCATTGTGGGGCAACAGACACACGGCTGACCCATAGTCTACAAGAGGGCAAGGAAATTCATAAAATGCTAAAAATACTGGGCTAAAGCTGGATTTATGCACACAGTGGCAGAAATATCCCAGGGTCCTCTGGGAGCAGAGGGCGTTTATGTAATGGTCTGCTGGACCCTTAATGTGTTTTTTTTTATGGAACTGGTTTATTTTTAGTCTTTAGGTTTTTTTCATTGTGCATTTATTGCTTTGACATAGTTCTTCCAAAATTACTCCATAAAACTTTTATTAGGTCCAATGGCATCAAACATTAATGTTAGAAGCAGACAATTAATACTACTATTCAGTATCAATGAACTGTATATAATTTAACATGAAAATAAAGATCAAACTGGAATCCTAGGGAGCATGGGGAGGTGGAGGGGCTACTGAAGGCTACCTGACACTCCTCACCTTGGGCTGTCGTGGGCGTCAATCTGCAGATTGACCCCATCCATCCAGAGCATGAGGTCTCGCACCATGTTGAAGAAGCGGAACTTCTCGACTGTGTCCAGCAGGAGGAGCCGGCGAGCCTGGCCAGCGGCCAGCAGGGCCTCCCAAGCTTCGGACACGGCGCGCTCGTGCCTGTGGATGTCATCGGCCTTTTCACCGGCGTAGGCCTTCTGGAGCCGCGCACCGTCGTCCTGCACTTGGCTCACCTATAGGGGGCAGCAGTCAGAAATCACCGAATGAAATAAGAAAAACAATCTGATGTAATTTATATGGGACGCTGACGGACCTGTCCGCTGAGGGCCTGGATGTCGTGCTCGTAGGCGGTGTGCTGTCGGTGCAGGTGCTGCACGGTGTTGAGGTCGCGGCCCAAATCAGAGGGCAGGGCCTCATTCTTCTCTCGCATGCGACCCAGCACCTCGCGGGCGTCCTGGTGGAAGCGGTGCAGCTCGTAGGAGGCGGCCAGCATCTGCGTGCGCGTGTCGATCAGCTCCAGCAGGTCGGCCCACGCCTCGTTCAGGCCGTCCTTCCACTCGGCCACGCTGGCGTTCTCCGGGTGGCCCGACTCGATGAGCTCGTCGGCCAGGGCGTTGACGCCGTCCACGCGCTCCTGCCCGATGGTGCTGGTGTCGCGGGCGAACTCGCGGAACTTGTCCCGCAGCATCTGATTGAAGATGACCCCAGATCCCTTCTTTAGCAGACTTTCATGCATACAGCCAACGGCATAGGAGAGAGTTAGGCAATGGGGGGTGGGGGGGGCTCATCTTAATAATTTACATACAAAAGTCTATTTAATGGGGGGATGATTAAAACCAAATTAAATATTAGAGAAAATGTCCCCTCCCCCCACCCCCCAGATGTTGCCCCCTAGCATACAGTACTGTCTTAGCTATTTATCTGAGTATTAATGTATATGTGCTCAGAAAAAAAACATAATTCAACATTAGAACATATGCAAATTAACAGTATGCAAATGAACACAGTAAAAAACATTAACAGTATTCCTGCCATTCTCCAAAAAGGTATCGAGTCAAAAAATATACGGGTGAGTCGAGTGATTGCTGAGAATAAGCATGACGTTATTTAGGTATGTGCGAGTGCTCGTTAAGGGACCGGCTTCCATCCAAGAACATCGTGTCTCACAGCTAAGTCAGCGTTCCCCAATGTTTGGTCCGAGTCACTCGCCTTGGGGAAAGATCGATTTGGCGACATTTATCATCTGCACACTATCCCCCGGCAAATTTTATTGTCATCTCCCACAAAAAAACTATAGCCTTATGCTTTGTTAGATATTTTCATTCCTCTGATGCTTTTATCCAAAGCAACTTACAGTAGAGGGAAAGGAATTTAGGAGGGGGATTTATGCAACCTTTGCATTTGAACCCACAATCTACAAGTTGTCATATGAATTTGCCCCTCTGGCCTAAGCTTTCAGAGTTATAGATTGGGAGCGGAGTTAGCTTAAGAACCGTGGGCTAATGGACTCCGGGATGCAATCTGAAGAGGCATCGGGAGAGTGTGTGGTCAGGAGAGAGAGCACATGGGAGACTGGAGGGAGCATCAGCAGGGGTAGGGTGGGGCGGGCCGAGGCAGGTCTGAGGCAGGGCGGGCCGAGGCAGGTCTGAGGCAGGGCGAGGCAGGTCTGAGGCGGGTCGGGACAGGGGCGGGGCAGTACCGTAACGTGCTCATAGTCCTGGCCCAGCTCATGGGAGCCGGCCACCACCTCCCGCTCGGCGATCCACTGCTCCAGGTCGTCCACCTCCCGCTTGAGCTGCGTGAGCCGGAGCCGCTCCTGCAACCGGCCGCGGCGCTCCTCCGCCAGGTCCTTCAGACCGGCGTACAGCTTGTCCACCTGGGCTTGCCGTAGGGTGATGCGTTCGCTGCGGAGGGAAGGAGAAACCACGTGCTGGGATGGGAAACGACACGAGGCGGCTGCCCTTGACCGATGTCTGAAAAACTGGCCTCATTTTGGCCTGTGGGTATGTAGGTCTTCTTGCTTCCCGGAGCCCTTGCATTTTCACTGGCCAGGCCGATTTGCGCCATTTACGACATCAGACCCTCACCTCTCTGGGTGCTCGCTGGTCACCATTAGTCGGCTGCTATTGGCCAGCTGGTGGATGGTCTGGGCGTAGTCTTCCAGGGCCTGTTCCAGAATCTGGTGCTTCTTCACCATCGCCAGGGCGCTCTGCTCGTCCTGGGTGGAGGACAGAAAGGTCACCAGAAGCAGGGAGGTTGTCTTTACTGGTCATTGTTATATCTAAGTATATATTTAAGAACCCACACATACCAGATGGGCCCCACCCACTCATAACAGCTAGCCCCGCCCATAGACAACAGCTAAGCCCCACTTGCACATATTTCCTGACCACGCCCACACATAACAGCTGCCCAAACCCCCATATGCAACATGTGAGCCTACTCAAGAATAACCCCTAAGCCCTGCCCACATATTGCAACTGACCCAAGACTACACATGACAGCTGAGCTCCGCCCACATATAACTGGGCCCCGCCCACCCAGTCACATGACCCTGCAGCCTTGCCTTAGCTTTCTCCTCGGACATCATGTGCAGCTCCTGTTCCCCCATCCAGGCCTCGGCCTCGGCGGCATCTGCATAGAACTGCTGGGCGCGGTGCGCCTCCACCAGGCGACCCCGGCGCTGCTCCGTCTCAGCGATGAACCGGGCCCAGGAGTCTCGCAGCTCGGCCAGGCGCTCGTCTAGCCGGGACTGCCGCTCGCCATCCACCTGGTCCTGGCCCGGAGCCATGGAGTGGCCATGCACCTGGATGTCATCGATTCGCGGCTGGTGGCCCTGGATCTCCTTCTGCAAGGTCTGGGTGAGGATGCGGGGACCATGACCATCTGAATTTTGACTGTGGTGTGGTTACCGCGGTCATGGTCTCTGCAGGGGCTGACAGATCCCCCGTGATCCCCTCTAATGATCCCAGACTTGCAGCACTTCGTACCAGATGCTAAATATAAACCATAGCTAAATTAGTCAGCACTCTCGGGGCAGAGACTGTTCCAGAACTTGACCCCATAATCCCAAATTCCAGAACACTCACAAAACTGTTAAATGCCCTCGTTTACTGTGGTCACCAAGACCACATACCCTGATTGATGTTGCCCTCCTGCCCAAGGCTGACTGAAAATCATGTGCCCTCCCTACTTTGTCTCCGGTAGATCCGGTGCTCTACATGTTCCTCACACCGATGGTGAAACTTGACGGGTGGAGGGGTTTGTTAAGTCAGCACCCCTCCAGAAGATGGTGCCCTGGGCACTGTAACCAAATGACTGTCACTGCTCTAGTCCTGTTTCCTTTGCACTAGTACACACCTGGTTCTTCTTGATGAGCAGCTGCACGCTGGGTAGGTCCTTCCCGTGGTCTGTAGAGGTGGCCAGGGGCATCCGCTCCTTCACCCAGAGCTGAGGGATAAGGAGAAATGGAGGGAGGTCGGTGCGGGAGCTACACGCAGAGGGAAGGAGTTGGTATGACATTTGCAGACTCGGCGCTCACAATCTCGTCCTCCAGGTCGCGGTTGAACTGGTGGGCCTCCTTGGACGACAGCAGCTGCTGCCGCCGCTGCCTCAGTGGGTCCTGGAGCTGGCAGAAGCTTTCAGTGACCCTCCTCTGCTGGCTGTCCACCTCCGCCAGGCCGGCATCCTCTTGGGACAGGGCCTGCGCTTGGGCCTGTAATGACTGCACCTCCTTCTCGCGCACCTCCATCTGGTGCTCCAGCATCTGGGTAGAGAGAAGGCGGCTGGGGTGTTCAGGGCATTTCCAGCTAAAGAGAGCAGCTAACTAAAATAGCCTAAAAGCATCCCCCTTAGCCAATCAAGGAAAAATCTGTACAAGAGAAGATGACGATATTGGATCGGGTTCTGATTCAACCTATACCTCTTATCAATTTCATGCAGGGGCTTTTAAAAAGCAGACTAAATTCTACACCACTAGCCTAATGCTGAATATTGACTGAACCTGAAAAATGCCAGGAAATTAGGTCACTTCTAGAAGGGCTTCCTCTCCCCAGACTACCCCCCCCCCTCCCCTAACCTGGTGCTTCTTGAGCAGGATGTTGACGCTGGTCAGGTCCTTGCCATAGTCATCGCTCTGCAGCTGAGCGGACAGGTTCTTCAGCCAGGAGTCCAGGGCCGAGCAGCTCTGGGTGAAGAGCTCCGCCCTGTTGGCGTCAAAGAGGCACTGCGCCTTGGTGCGGGTGGTGCTTTCCAGGTCTTCCCACTGGCGCTGGAGGCCTGCCCGGGTTTGTTTTACTATCGACTCCAGCTCGGGCTTCTCACGCACCAGGGCTTGCCCCTCCTGAGGAAGAACGGGAGGTCAAGGCAAGAGGAAGTGACGACCTATCGGGACAAAAGACCTTCTCTATGAACGAGAAGGTCGGGCCATTCAGGGGTTCTTGGACTTGAGGTTACAGGACCAGTCTTGGCACCTTGTCGATCTTGTCCAGCCAGTCCTTGTTTGACGCCAACTCGGCCATGAAGGCCTGGTGCTTCTGCCACTTGCTGTGGAGGTTCCTGGCCTCGTCATATGACATGTCCTGGGCCGTCAGCATCTTCTCGTTGATCCAGAGAGTCAGCTACAGAAAGACGGACATAGAGAATGAAATCGGAATATGGTCACGGACCATAATTGAATATGTCAGCAAATTACATGGTTGTCGTTGTAGTGCGATTCCATTAAATCATCACATTGGTAGAACTAATTAACACCTTCGCAACTACTACAATCTCCAGCCCCCTATACACTCTACCCACCAGTCCAAAAAATTAAATACTAATTTTATTAAAAGCCCAATATGTGTGACTATGTCTCAATGTAATCAGCTAAAGCAGATCTACACCTGAAGCTGCCCGTCTCTTTGCTACCACTGTGTGGCGCTGTTTCAACTTCAGTGCGAACGGTCACAAAATTTGACCACCACCAGAGTGCCGACCATATAACGTGTGTGCAAAGTATGAGCACCGTTTATCCAAAACATTTCAAGTTATTGAGCTAACAAGAGAAGTGTCTTCGGTGGCGGACCAGTCCCAAAACATTTAGCTAAAAAGGCAATTAAGGTTGGTACGGCCGACCACTGACCTCTTGTCCATCTTGCAAGAAGTGCTGCAGTTCTCGATTGTCTTTGAATTTAGCCAAGAGCTCGCTGGCTGCCTGCTTGTTCTTCTTGTGTCTGGAAGAGAGACGTCAGAGAGATCCAAGCGTTTGGCTTTCGCTCTTCTCCCAAAACCCAACCCTCCTCCAGCCTGTCTCGTGGCTAAGCTACTTTCTCCCCCAGACCATGACGCCTCCAGCATGACTACCTAAACGCAAGGGTCATGTTTTAGTCTAGTTTAAAAATATACCACTTCAAAATAATGCCATAAATCTTCAAGTGTTTATATTTTAATTGTGGGGTTTCAAAATAACATGAATTGCAAAGGTATGGCATTTTATTTCATTTTACAATGAGAAAGAATCGTTTAAAATATGAAGATGAAGATGTATATCCAGAATACAATTCTCCCAAGAGCTGAGAAATGTCAGTATTATAATGTTGCTTCTGGACCTCTATATTCCAACCCTATAAGCCAATTGGAAGAGCTTCTGATAAATTAACCATGTAACCCCCCCCCCCACCCACCTCTCCTGGATGGAGTCGGCTTTCTCCTGGATCTTGTCGGCGTTGGCATTGCGATCGCTGACCAGGCGGCGTCCGGAATCCACCACACCGGCAATCTTCTCCTCGCTGGCCTCCATGGTGGTCAGGAAGTCCTCATGCTTCTTGATGGCGTCCTCGGCCCCCTGGAGACTGGCTGGCATCTCCGTGTGGGACAGCACATACTCCTGGGGAAGAGGGGGGGCAACGAACATCATACCTTCACGGACCACTGGGGAGGGTGGTAGTTCGAGGACCACTGGTTTAAGTGATATGACGTTGGGTCGGAAATACGTGTCCGTTTCTCACCCACCTGGCTGTTGAGGAAGCCCTCTGCCTGCTTGGCGTCCCGTAAGAAGGTCTGGAAGTCGAAGGCCTGTGCTAGCAGGCTGTGCCGGTTCTCCCACATGCGACGCAGCTCGTGCCAGCCCGTGTCCAGTGCTTGCAGCCTCTGGGCCAGGAACATGTGCTGCGCGTCCGTCTGGCCCTGCGTCACCTCGGCGCCCAGCGCCCGCATCTTCTCGTAGTCCTCCCGGTAGTTGTCCACTTCGTTCTTGATGCCCTCGTGTTGGGCCAGCAGGCGCTCGGCCTCCGCCAGTGAGGTGGGGCTGTCCTCAGAGGCCACGGCCGTCTGTGTGCGGGACAGCCAGGCCTGGAAGTCGTCCAGGTCGCGCAGGAAGCCCTGCAGCTTGCTGGCTTCGCCCAGGGATTCCTCCCGTCGCTTCATGGTATCGTTCAGCTCCTCCCACACTTCCTGGATCTCCCCCAGCCGGGCCTGGATCTCCGAGGCTTGGTCTGGGTGCTCCTGCGCCAGCTTCTGGGCCTCCTGATGCAAGTTGTCCAACTTACCCTGAAATGATTGCTCTGGTTACGCCGAATTTCAACAATCTGACACTTTTGCCAATACTCGTATTAGTGAACAAGCACCTTTGACCCAAGTGATGCAACTTGACTATATCTCAGGGGCCATTCCAGGATTTTTTAACATGGAGGGCATAACGGGGATCATAAAGTTGGCTCCTCTGTATGAATTATAGCCAATTATATGTTATGTTATGAGTGACAGGGGAGCGGGCCAATCAGCTTTCAGTTGAGGCATCGGTGGCCCCGCCCCCTGTATGTTCCCCTACTGTACCTGGATGGCCTCCAGGTCACGCTCCATGCCCGTGAGCTTGCGCTGGAGGGCCATGACCCCGGCCAAGTCGTTGCCCAGCCCCTGGGTGGATTCGATCACTTTTGTCTTCTCACGCATCCAGCTCTGGATCTCATTGCACTCCAGGTGATAATTCTGGATGTTCAGTGCTGATTCCAGGGCCAGCTTTTTGTGGTCGGCCAGCCGCTGGAACTCCTTCCACCTGGGGGGGGTCACAGTGAAGGTTTGGGGGCAGGTTGAATGACAGAGAGAAGAGTCCGGCTCACTAATGCAGGCAGGGGCCAGTTTGTTGTTTCTGGGGTCACTTCGGGGCCCCCCTTCTGATCTTTCAAATAATAATAAATCTCTCTAAGCATCTCCTAAATAAGGAACTCATTCATTTAATATTAAATGTAGTGACTGTTTGTGGCCAACAGGGGGCCCCCATGCAAATGTGTGGTTTCAGTGGTGGCAAACACGGCCCATCACCTGTGTACATCTTGGGTGTTTCTCAATATGTGGACTTGACTGTAGTTGTGTGTGTTTTGCGTCTGCATCCATTGCCAAAGACCAGTTACAATACCAAACACAGAAGTACGGAGGACAGTAAAAACCGCCGGATGTCGTTCTTGCCCTGCCACAAATATCAAGGATACATCGGTTGCATCCTCGCCAGAACAATACGTATCCCATGATTCATCGCACCCTAAGTTTGTTCTTGGAAGGCAAGGTAGCAAGACTGGTCTTGCCAAGACCACAGATACGATCTTTGCGTTCTTGGTATTGAGAAACACCCAGTGACAGTGGTCTGAGCCAGTCTGAGCCAGTCTGAGCCAGTCTGAGCCGGTCCGTACCGGTTGTTGAGCTGGTCCTGAGTCTGATGGATCTGCTCCTTGCTGCAGTTGTCTGTGCCAAGCAGCTGTTGAGAAACCTGGTTCACGTCGGTGATGCGGGTAGCCAGGTTGTTCATCTCAGGCTCCAGGGTCTCGAACCTGCATCCACACACACACAGAGAGGAATG